ATCCAGTATAAAATGCATTTATTTGGGCTTTTAGTGGCTGGACGGAGAGTTTGTGAAGACACAGAGACAGACTGATGTGCATAGAAGAGCGAGAGACTGAAAGATCACACAGATCTGAGCTCTCTGACATCATCACGGCAAACCCAACACTACACCACAGAGAACTAACAGAAGCACACACTAAAACTGAGCAAAACCATTGGGTTTTATCAGGCACACGAGATGGGGAATGCACTGAAGAACCGGAATTATTAGCATTGTTGTCTTGTTTTGTTTTTTATTTGTTCAATGCTTTGTTATGGATTTAAAATCTTTAGAAATCAAACTTTGGTTTCTGAAATAATATATTGACTTTATTTAAACAAAAAGTTTTGTCAGAAATGTGTTCCCCCCCGCCCCCTTTAGAATAATTGACTATTTCTCTGAATTTATTTTCCAGTTTTAATTAAAAATGCTTAAGTGGTTTTATTAAAAAATGCAAAATCTGAACTGAATTCTTCAAATTGTAATCAAGTCTTGGTTTCTGAAAGTTATACTGACACTCATTCATTCATTCATTCATTCATTCATTCATTCATTCATTCATTCATTCATTCATTCATTCATTCATTCATTTATTTATTTATTTATTTATTTATTTATTTATTTATTTATGCATTTATTTATTGTTTGTTTATTTGTTATTTATTTATTTATTTATTTATTTATTTATTTATTTATTTATTTACTTATTTATTTATTTATTATTTATTTATTTATTTAAATGCTGAATTTAAAGAGTTGAGCATTTTGTCTTTTTGTATTTGTTGACCCAATGCTTGGTTAAGAAATCAAGTCTAGGTTTCTGAAAGTTATACTGACACTTATAATTAATTAATTAATTAATTAATTAATTCATTCATTCATTCATTCATTCATTCATTCATTCATTCATTCATTTATTTGTTATTTATTATTTATTTATTTATTTAAATTTATTTATTTAAATGCTGAATTTAAAGAGTTAAGCATTTTGTCTGTTTGTATTTGTTAATCCAATGCTTGGTTAAGAAATCAAGTCTTGGTTTCTGAAAATTATATTGACACAGATTTTTTTTTAACCTAAGCATGCTAAATTTAAAGAGTTTTTGTCGTTTTTTATTTGTTCACCCAGTGCTTGGTTAAGAAATCAAGTCTTGGTTTCTGAAATAATATACTGATAGATGATAAAAACTGCATGTTTTATGTTGTCAAGAATTTCTTTTTCCTTTAGAAATGTTTGTTTAAGAAATAAAATGCTTAAATCTTCTATTTTTCTTGGTTTCTACTAATGCTTTATTGTGAACTTTAAATTCTTAAGACATCAATATTTATTCATTTTTTTAAGCTTACATTCTCAATTTAACCATTTATGTGCTTTTTTTCTTGGTTGAACTAATGCTTAATTGTGAATTCAGTAAACAAAGCTGAAAATAAAAACAAAAATTCTGAATTTAACTTGAGTTTAGTTTCTGGGTTTTTTAGTTCAACTCATGCTCTCTTGTGAACTTGGTTTCTGAAAATATATTTAGATTTTTATGCTAAAATTGAAAAATTTGGAATTTGGAATTGACTTTATTTCTCTGAAATATTTTCCAGTTTTAGGGAGAAAAAATGCTTAAATCTTTTTGTTATTGGTTTAACAAATGCTTTACTGTCAAATTATTAAGTAATTATTATTACTTGATTTCTAAAAATATATATTGACTTTTATAATAACGTAATTCTTTTTTTTTTTAAGGAAACAAAAGCTAAAAATTAAAAAACCTGAAAGTTTTTTTTTTGTTTAAAGGTTTAAAAGTCTGTTTTTAACTTGGTTTCAGCTTTTTGTCTTTTTTTCTTGGTTCAACTCATGCTTTATTGTGAATTCTTAAGAAATTAAGTCTTGGTTTCTGAAAACAAAAATATTGAATTTAATGTCAAAAACTAAAATTTTATGTTGTCAGAAAAGTCTTCCATTAGAATTGACATTTCCAGTTTTAAGAAGAAAGTATTGCTTATTTTTTTCAGTAAAAAAAAAAACAGAAAATAAAAAAGTTAATTTAAATGAATTTTTTTTTTCTTAAAAAGTCTGAATTTAACCATTTTTCCCCATTAATTCAACTCATGCTTTATTGCTGAAATTTTTAAGAAATCAAGTCTTGTTTCTGACAGAATATGTTGACTTTTATGATTAAAAACTACACATTTTATGTAGTCAGAAATGGTGTTTTTCCTTTAGAACTGACACGATTTCTCCAAATAAATAAATTTTCCAGTAGAAAGAAAATGCTTAATTCTTTTTTCAAAACAAAAAAACACCTGAATGAGTTTTTGTTTTCTTCAAAATCTGAATTGAACCCTTGTTGTGTTTTCGTTTTCATTTTTTTTACCTAATGTTTTATTTTAATTTAATCCTTATTATAGTATTCGTGTCGGTTTCTGAAAAATACATCGTATATACATCATGATAAACAAAAAACTACAAAAGAAAAATGTCTATGCTGTCAGAAATGTTGTTTCTGAATTAATTTGCAAACTTTTTCTAGTTTAAGAAAAAAAAAAGTGTTAAATTTTTTTTTCCACCAGAAAACAAACCCCAATAATGCTGAGTCTGAATTTAACTCTACTGCAGCATTTTGTCTTTTTATGATTTGTTCAACAAATGTTTTTAAATTCATAAGAAATCAAGAAGTTTCTGACAAAATGCATTGATATTTAAGATTAAAAAATCTATGTTGTCAGAAATGGTGTTTTCCTATAGAATTTACATTATTTCTCTGAATTAACAAATATGTTTACAGTTTAATGCTTAAATCTTTTTATTTTCAGAGTCTGAAACTGTAAACTGTAAATTCTGTAAATTTGTTTTTAGAGAAACATATGGAAAAATAGATTATTTGATGAAAAATGGCAAAAGATTTTTTTTTAATGTTGTCAGAACTTAAAATGTTCATTTAGAGTTTAAATTATTTCTCTGAATCAAATCAGTTTTGTCTAGTTTTAAAGTGAAAAATTCTTCAATGTATACATATATTTATCCTTTCAGAAAACAAAGCTAACATCTCGAGTCATTTTGCTTTTCAAGTAAATGTATTTTTATTCATATGGAATAATATTTTATTTTATTCATGAAGGAAAACCAAAATTCTGCCTGAATTTAACCAGATAATACTGAGTGGCTTCAACATTTTAGTCTTTTTAATTTGTTTTCATCTGTTTGTTTTATGATTAATGTTCAACTATAATGTATTATTGTGAACTGTAAATTCTTAAGTCTTGCTTTCTGAAAAAAAAACTTCAATATTTTCTCCAAATGCTTAATATTTCAGAAAACAAAACCTAATATCTTGAGTCATTTTGCTTCGTAAATACATCTCTGTTTATGACTTTTTACATATTTGTTGTAGAAAACGAGACAAAAATGCTGAGTGTGAGATTCGACGAATAGAAACAGCAGTGAAATCCAGTTTTACACCCCAAAGAAAAACAAAAAAGTAGGTCAAAATGAGTATTAATGTCTAATACGTTCATAATACATAATTCTGCTTTTATTGTGTGTAAATCTCCTGTCTACAAAATCTAGAGCTGCATTCATGATTTAATCATTTTTAAGAGAAATTTAAGTAATATTAGACTTTGTATTTAAATAGCCTTCGGTCAAAAACGTAATCATTTGATTAAAATCAGCTTGTTACACCAACAAAAATGAAGTTTTTCAAACTTAATTTATTTTCGGAAATAAATCGAGTAGGAAATTTTTAATTGCTGTGGGTGATTTAAAAAAATGGTCAAAGATTTAGTATTTTTGATGTATGACTGGACTATGATTTATAAATTATGATTAAAAACACAATTAGTTTAGGTGTAACAATTTCAAGCACGTTTTTAACGCTTTTACAGAGATGCTGAGCAGAAAAAAAACTATTTAATATCTCCAATATGTTGAATGGTAATGAATGGTGTATTTACTAGATGAGAAACTGGACATTTTAAAAAAATACGCCTCAGATGTTTCGTGTTCAGATGCAGGAACGTGAATCTGTAGTTAGTGTGTTACTGGTGTATTATTGATGTATATGTTGATGTGTGTAGTTGACATATTTGATGTGTAATACTGTAGCTGTGGTTGTCATGTATTTAGAATGTAGCTGACATAGTTACATCATAACTGGAGTGTAGTTGATGTATTTGATGTGTATTTGTCATAGGTACAGTGTAGGTGGCACGTAATGGAAATATTTTGCTTGTAGTTGTAGTGTAGTTGGTGTATAATTAACAAATTAGGCATGAAGTTAATGTAGTTGAAGTGTAGTTGGCGTGTAATGGACAAATTTGCCCTGTTGTTGAAGTGTAGTTGGCGTGTAATTGACGTATTCAACCCAAGCTCATTCTGGAAACGTAGCCCCGCGGACGTTTCTGGAGACCACGATTTACGTGGCCGGAGGTACGTAAGGCCGCGTTTAGTTTTTTTCCAGTGAACGCTGCGGGGCGGTGTGGTGCCGCTCCGTCCCTTCTCTTCGCGCTCGCCGGCCGACGGCTCGCCTCTGAGTGGAGGGCTTTCCCGATGCAACCAGTTTGTCCGTTTAACTCACATCGTTGCGTCGGCGGAGCGGAGGCCCCGGAGGAGGAGGAGCCGTCCACGGGGACGACGACCGGGATCGAATCCGGGGAACAGCGGTTCTCGAAATCAGGTAAGACGAAAAACGGAATCCGAAAAATAAGGGCGAGAATGCGGCGGGATCCGAAAATGCGGTCGAAATCGAAGACGAGGGCTTTTGCTTTTTTTTTTTTTTTTCTGGATGGCTTTTGCGAACCGTCGCTCAAGTTTAGGGAAGGAGGAGGAGGAGGAAGAGGAGGGCGGCCGAGACGGCCGATCCGGCGGCTTTTCGCGCGAGAACGCCGGGGGTGCTAACGGCGCGCGCTCCCGAGAGGCACCCAAGATGCGAAAAAGCACGCACAGCAGCCTCTCGCGGATCCGCGAAAGCAAAAAACGCTCGAATACGTACCTCCCGGGACGTAAATCGCAGTCCGCAGAAACGTCCGCGGGGCTACGTTTCCACAATGAGCCCGGGTTGGACGTATTAGACGTGTTGTTGATGCAGTTGTAGTGTAGTTGGTGTGTAATTCAAGTATTGGGCATGTAGTTGATGTAGTTGAAGTGTAGTTGGCTTGTAGTTGACATATTTGCCCTGTTGTTGAAGTGTAGTTGGCTAGTAATTGACGTATTAGACGTGTTGTTGATGCAGTTGTAGTGTAGTTGGTGTGTAATTTAAGTATTGGGCATGTAGTTGATGTAGTTGAAGTGTAGTTGGCGTGTAATTGACGTATTAGACGTGTTGTTGATGCAGTTGTAGTGTAGTTGGTGTGTAATTTAAGTATTGGGCATGTAGTTGATGTAGTTGAAGTGTAGTTGGCGTGTAATTGACGTATTAGGCGTGTTGTTGATGCAGTTGTAGTGTAGTTGGTGTGTAATTTAAGTATTAGGCATGTAGTTTATGTAGTTGAAGTGTAGTTGGCGTGTAATGGACAAATTTGCCCTGTTGTTGAAGTGTAGTTGGCGTGTAATTGACGTGTTAGGCGTGTTGTTGATGCAGTTGTAGTGTAGTTGGTGTGTAATTTAACTATTGGGCATGTAGTTGATGTAGTTGAAGTGTAGTTGGCTTGTAATTGACATATTGGGCATGTAATTTATGTAGTTAAAGTGTAGTTGGTGTGTAATTGACATATTTGGTGTGTAGCTGATGTATTTAAAGTGTGGTTGGCGTGTAATTGACATTTTGCCTTGTAGTTGGCATGTAATTAACATATTTGCCCTATAGTTGACATGTAGTTGGTGTGTAATTGACATATTGGGCTATGTAATTTATAAGCTGGTGTGAAATTGACGTATTTGGTGTGTAGTTGATGTAGTTAAAGTATGGTTGGCGTGTAATTGACATTTTTGCATTGTAGTTGGCATGTAATTGACATATTTGATGAGTAGTTGAAGTGTAGTTGGTGTGTAATTGACGTATTTGGTGTGTAGTTGATGTAGTAAAGTGTAGTTGGCTTGTATTTGACATAGTTGCCCTGTACTGAAGTGTAGTTGGCATGTAATTGACATAGTTAGTGTGTAGTTAAAGTGTAGTTGGTGTATAATTGACGTATTGAGCATGTAGTTGATGTAGTTAAAGTGTGGTTGGCGTGTAATTGACATTTTGCCTTGTAGTTGGCATGTAATTGACGTATTTGGTGTGTAGTTGAAGTGTAGTTGGCATGTAATTGACGTATTTGGTGTGTAGTTGAAGTGTAGTTGGCATGTAATTGACGTATTTGGTGTGTAGTTGAAGTGTAGTTGGCATGTAATTGACGTATTTGGTGTGTAGTTGAAGTGTAGTTGGCATGTAATTGATGTATTTGGTGTGTAGTTGAAGTGTAGTTGGCATGTAATTGACGTATTTGGTGTGTAGTTGAAGTGTAGTTGGCATGTAATTGACGAATTTGGTGTGTAGTTGAAGTGTAGTTGGCGTGTAATTGACAATTTTGCCTTGTAGTTGACGTGTAGTTGTTGTGTAGTTAAAGTGTGGTTGGTGTATAATTGACGTATTGGGCAAGTAGTTGACATATTTGCCCTGTAGTTGACGTGTAGTTGGTGTGTAATTAACGAATTGGGCATGTATTTGATGTAGTTAAAGTGTAGTTGGTGTGTAATTGACGTATTTGGTGTGTAGTTGATGTAGTTAAAGTGTAGTTGGCGTGTAATTGACATTTTTGCCCTGTAGTTGATTTGTAGTTGTTGTGTAGTTAAAGTGTGGTTGGTGTATAATTGACGTATTGGGCAAGTAGTTGACATATTTGCCCTGTAGTTGACGTGTAGTTGGTGTGTAATTAACGTATTGGGCATGTATTTGATGTAGTTAAAGTGTAGTTGGTGTGTAATTGACGTATTTGGTGTGTAGTTGATGTAGTTAAAGTGTAGTTGGCGTGTAATTGACATTTTTGCCTTGTAGTTGGCATGTAATTGACATATTTGATTTGTAGTTGAAGTGTAGTTGGCATGTAATTTACATTTTTGCCCTGCAGTTGACAAGTAGTTGGTGTGTAATTGACATATTGGGCATGTAGTTGATGTAGTTAGTGTGCAATTGACGTATTTGGTGTGTAGTTGATGTAGTTAAAGTGTGGTTGGCGTGTAATTGACATTTTGCCTTGGAGTTGGCATGTAATTGACGCATTTGGTGTGTAGTTGAAGTGTAGTTGGCGTGTAATTTACATTTTTGCCTTGTAGTTGACGTGTAGTTGGTGTGTAATTGAAGTATTGGACATGTAGTTGAAGTGTAGTTGGCTTGTATTTGACATAATTGGTGTGTAGTTAAAGTGTAGTTGGTGTATAATTGACGTATTGGGCAAGTAGTTGACATATTGTCCTGTAGTTGACGTGTAGTTGGTGTGTAACGAACGTATTGGGCATGTAGTTAATGTAGTTAAAGCGTATTTGGTGTGTAATTGAAATATTTGGTGTGTAGTTGATGTAGTTAAAGTGTGGTTGGCGTGTAATTGCCATTTTTGCCTTGAAGTTGGCGTGTAGTTGACGTATTTGGTGTGTAGTTAAAATGAAGTTGCCATGTAATTGATGTATTCGGTGTGTTGTTGATGTAGTTGAAGTGTAGCTGGTTTATAATTGACATATTGGGCATGTAGTTGATGTAGTTAAAGTGTAGTTGGGGTGTAATTGATGTATTTGGTGTGTAATTTAAGTGTAGTTGGTGTATAGTTGGTATGCAGTTGGCATAGTTCAAATAGTTCACGTGTAGCTGGTGTGTTAATGACGTGTAGTTGATGTAAATAATCTGTTGTTGACATAGTCGATGTGTAGTTGGCATGTCAATGATGTGTAGTTGACATTAGGTGTGTAGTTGACGTAGTTGATCTGACATGTAGTTGGCGTGTAGTTGACATTTAGCATGTAGTTGGCTGTGTAGTTGGCATGTAGTTGACATTTTTGGCATGTAGCTAACTTGCAGTTGGCATGTAGTTAATGTGTTGTTGGTGCTGTATTGTTGACAGTCTGTGGTTGACATGTAATTGAGGTGTAGTTGACATGTATCTGAACTATAGTTGGCATAAAATCAATGTGTAGTTGTTGTGTAGACAGCGTGTATAGTTGATATGAGAATTAACTGTGAATTGGCGTGCAGTTGGTGTGTTTGTATTGCTATAGTTTGATTCTGCTGGCATGACTCTGGAAAACACAGATTGGTGCTCCTCGTGGACAAATATTAAAGATACACAAATCACAATGACGCACAGAAGCTTCATGGACATTTTCAAAGAGCGTGTCCATCAGTTTAAAGCGCTATTTTCCTCCTAAAATATGATGTGGACATTATTTATACATGCTGATAGAAAGCATATTTATCAAAAAAAGTCTATTTACACTGGAGTGGCGCTGATAAAGGTTTTGAAAAAGGTTTAGTTCATAAATTCAGCCTGTGTGTGGGTTTGAAATACTTTGATTGGTCGGACACTGATGATGATGATGATGATGATGATGATGATGATGATGAAAATCTGCAAAAGTTCAGAGATTCTTCAACAGAAAAGACATTGATCACTTTAAGGCTTTTTGGCCTCAAAGATCGTTGAGTGTAAGCGCTGTGTGTTGAATATACAGCAGAATGACATCTGATCTGCACAAAACACTCACTTCAGCAGGGCTTTGCTGCATTTACACTAGAAAACATCAAGAAAAATACAGACAGTGGCTACGTTTACATGGACTAAAGCAGGGGTGTCAAACTCAATTCCTGGAGGGCCGAAGCCCTGCACAGTTTAGTTCCAACCCTGCTCCAACACACTTACCTGTAGGTTTCAAACAAGCCTGAAGGACTCAATTAGTTTGATCAGGTGTGATTAATTAGGGTTGGAACTAAACTGTGCAGAGCTGCGGCCCTCCAGGAACTGAGTTTGACACCTGTGGACTAAAGTAATGGAATTATTTATCTTAATCTGAATAAGACAATAGGGCGAAGAAGTGGCGCAGTAGGTAGTGCTTTGGCCTCACAGCAAGAAGGTAGCTGGGTTGCGGTTCGATCCTCGGCTCAGTTGGCGTTTCTGTGTGGAGTTTGCATGTTCTCCCTGCCTTCGCGTGGGTTTCCTCCGAGTGCTCTGGTTTCCCCCACTGTCCAAAGACATGCGGTACAGGTGAATTGGGTGGGCTAAATTGTCCATAGTGTATGAGTGTGTGTGTGAATGTGTGTGTGGATGTTTCCCAGAGATGGGTTGCGGCTGGAAGGGCATCGTTGCGTAAAAACTTGCTGGATTCATTGGTTCATTCCGCTGGGGCGACCCCGGATTAATAAAGGAACTAAGCCGACAAGAGAATGAATGAATTAATAAATGAATGTATTTCTGTTACTTGCCAGAGAGTTTCATATAGTTAAATCGGATGTACTAAAACAAATCCAAATCCAAATAATAAAAACGACTTGCAGAAACTAGATGTTGGAACATAAGACAATAATTTAGATAAGAAAATTAATTTATTTATTTTACTTATTTTACTATCAGCGGTTACCACAGCGGAATGAACCGCCAACTATTCCAGCATATGTTTTACGCAGCAGATGCCCTTTCGGCTGCAACCCAGTACTGGGAAACACCCATACACACATACACTACGGCCAATTTAGTTTACCCAATTCCCCAATAATGCATGTGTTTCGACTGTGGGGGAAACCGGAGCACCCAGAGGAATTCATTACCAACACGGGGAGAACATGCAAACTCCACACAGAAATGCCAGCTGACCCAGTCAGGACCCGAACCAGTGTCCTTCTTGCCGTGAGGCGACGGTGCTAACCACTGAGCCACCGTGCCACCCATAAGATAATTATAAATAGTTAAATTCCATTATATCAATCACTGACGCTTAATTGTGTGTTTTGCATTATTGCAAAATATTTTTATGACTTCCGTAGTGTGTGATTACATGACTAAAATATCTGATTATATAATGCTCATTAATAGCATATACAAATAAATATATTTACGTATATTATTGTGTTTTTTTAACTGAAAAACTAAAAAAAACCCTGATGAAGAAAGTGTTTGTGCAGTGTCACATCCATTCCTACATAATACAAACAAACAAACAAACAAACAAACAATCAAACAAACAAAAGCTGCTCATCAGCTCAGAGCTGAAAACACAAGCAATAAAACTATCATAAATAGAGCTTCACTAATAACCCAGAGATGTGTGATCAGACAGTGCTGTGTGTGTTTTGTGAAAAGGTGATGTGACACAGAGGTATGTGTGCGTGTGTTTTGTGAAATGAGCAGACAGAGAAGTGTGTGAGGACTGGTTTTGGTGGCTTACAAGGACATAAATTTGTATATTGACATGGGTAAAGCTGAGCAAGTTGTACTCTATTGAGCTGGTTTATGAGGACATGTCTTGTGTCCTCGCAATTCAAACAATTAAAAATAATACTTAACATTGGTTTTCCATTCAATTCAATTCAACTACATGGGTATGGGCTAGTTGTACCCTATTAAAATAATACTCAACAGGGTTTTTCCTGCTTTGGGATCTGTGTTTCCATCAGTCTGCTGTTGTGGATTTGGCCACAGATTCTCCTCCACATCACAGTGGTGTTTGCATTAGTCAAACATCTTGGAAAAAACAAACCTCTGTCAATGTGAAAACAGGCCTGATATTGCCCTGCTGTTAGGCTGTGATTAGACTTTCTTGCAAAATTAGTATAATTACATGGGTATTAGCTGATTTAGTTGTACTCTATTAAGCTAGATTATGAGGACATGTCTTGCGTCCTCTTAAATCAGACGAATAAAAATAATATTTAACAGGGTTTTTTCCAGCTTTGGTGTCTGTGATTTTATCAGTCTGCTCTTGTGGATTTGGCCACAGATTCTCCTCCACATCACAGTGGTGTTTACATTAGCCAAACATCTTGGAAAAAACCTCTGTCAATGTGAATCCAGGCCTGGTATTGGTCTGCTGTTAGGCTGTGATTAGACTTTCTTGCAAAATTAGTATAATTACATGGGTATAAGCTAGTTGTACTCTATTAAGCTGGATTATGAGGACATTTCTTGTGTCCTCTTAATTCAGATAATTAAAAATAATATTTAACAGGGTTTTTCCTATTTTGGGATCTGTGTTTCCATCAGTCTGCTCTTGTGGATTTGGCCACAGATTCTCCTCCACATCACAGTGGTGTTTACATTAGCCAAACATCTTGGAAAAAACCTCTGTCAATGTGAATCCAGGCCTGGTATTGGTCTGCTGTTGTGATGTGATTGGACTTTCTTGCAAATTAGTATAATGACATGGGTATGGGCTAGTTTAGGCTGGTTTATGAGGACATGTCTTGTGCCCTCGTAGTTCAGATAATGAAAAATAATACTTAACAGAGTTTTTCCTGCTTTGGGATCTGTTTCCATCAGTCTGCTCTTGTAGATTTGGCCACAGATTCTCCTCCACATCACAGTGGTGTTTACATTAGCCAAACATGTTGGAAAAAACAAATCTCTGTCAATGTGAAAACAGGCCTGATATTGCTCTGCTGTTATGCTGTGATTGGACTTTCTTGCAAAATTGGTATAATTAAATGGGCAAGAGTTAGTTGTACTCTATTAAGCTGGATTATGAAGACATGTCTTGTGTCCTCGTAATTTAGAAAATGAAAAATAATATTTAACATGGTTTTTCCTATTTTGGGATCTGTGTTTCCATCAGTCTGCTGTTGTAGATTTGGCCACAGATTCTCCTCCACATCACAGTGGTGTTTGCATTAGTCAAACATCTTGGAAAAAACAAATCTCTGTCAATGTGAAAACAGGCCTGATATTGCCCTGCTGTTAGGCTGTGATTAGACTTTCTTGCAAAATTAGTATAATTACATGGGTATAAGCTAGTTGTACTCTATTAAGCTGGATTATGAGGACATTTCTTGTGTCCTCTTAATTCAGATAATTAAAAATAATATTTAACAGGGTTTTTCCTATTTTGGGATCTGTGTTTCCATCAGTCTGCTCTTGTGGATTTGGCCACAGATTCTCCTCCACATTACAGTGGTGTTTACATTAGCCAAACATGTTGGAAAACAAATCTCTGTCAATGTGAGAACAGGCCTGATATTGCCCTGCTGTTAGGCTGTGATTGGACTTCCTTGCAAAATTAGTATAATTACATGGGAATTAGCTGATTTAGTTGTACTCTATTAAGCTAGATTATGAGGACATGTCTTGTGTCCTCTTAATTCAGATAATTAAAAATAATATTTAACAGGGTTTTTCCTGCTTTGGGATCTGTGTTTCCATCAGTCTGCTCTTGTGGATTTGGCCACAGATTCTCCTCCACATCACAGTGGTGTTTACATTAGCCAAACATTTTGGAAAAAACCTCTGTCAATGTGAATCCAGGCCTGGTATTGCTCTGCTGTTAGACTGTGATTAGACTTTCTTGCAAATTAGTATAATTACATGGGTATGGGCTAGTTAAGGCTGGTTTATGAGGACATGTCTTGTGCCCTCGTAGTTCAGATACTTAAAAATAATACTCAACAGGGTTTTCCTATTTTGGGATCTGTGTTTCCATCAGTCTGCTCTTGTAGATTTGGCCACAGATTCTCCTCCACATCACAGTGGTGTTTACATTAGCCAAACATCTTGGAAAAAACAAATCTCTGTCAATGTGAAAACAGGCCTGATATTGCTCTGCTGTTATGCTGTGATTGGAATTTCTTGCAAAATTAGTATAATTACATGGGTATTAGCTAGTTGTACTCTATTAAGCTGGTTTATGAGGACATGTTGTGTGTCCTCAGAATTCAAACAATTAAATATAATACTTAACAGGTTTTTTAAAAATAGATTATTAGGTTTAGGCATGAGATAAAGTCATATAATAAGCGTTTTGTACTTTATATAATATAGTCTGAATTATTAGCCCTCCTGAATTATTAGCCCCCTGTATTTTCCCCCAATTTCTCTCTAATGGAAAGAGGATGTTTGTTCCACACATTTCTAATCCTAATAGTTTGAATAACTCATTTCTAATAACTGATTTATTTTCTCTTTGCCATGATGACAGTAAATAATATTAGACTAGATGATCTTCAAGACACTTCTATACAGCTTAAAGTGACATTTAAAGGCTTAACTAGGTTAATTATGGTAATTAGGCAAGTCATTGTATAACAGTGGTTTGTTCTGTAGACTAGCCAAAACAAACAGTGCTTAAGAGGGCTAATAATATTGACCTTAAAATGGTTTTTAAAAAATTATAAACTTCTTTCATTCTAGCCGAAATAAAACAAATAAGAAGAAAAAATATTATAAGAAATACTGTGAAAAATTCCTGAATCTGTTCAACATCTTCTGGGAAATATTTGAACATAATTCACAGGAGGGAGAATAATTTTCACAGTGCCTATGAGGAGTCCTCGTAAACCACCGATACTAACATGTGTGTGTGTGAAATGAACAAACAGGTGTGTGTGTGTGTGTGTGAGCTGAAGGCACGTGGAGGAGCGTCTGTAGTGTGTTCTGCTACTTGAGCAGTGCGCGGTACAGAAGCAGGGACCGACTGCTCTCTCGCTCCTGCTCCATGAAGAAGATGAAGTCCCTGAGGTTCACCCGCGTGATTCTCTGACGGGGAAACTGACGCGACGAGCTGGACGAAGACGAGGAGCCGGCTGGAGAACCTGCTGAACTGCCCAACACCTGAACAAGACACACAAAGAAAACAGAGTATTTAGCAGAGCTGAAAGTAT